AAGTTGCTTTTGGGAAAAAAGAACTAGTGGTTTAAGGGCAGTGAGGAAATTTTAATATACTGCTAAACCAGTTTCTGCCATTCAGTTTTGAGAGAGGTAAATTAAATCAAAGCTAACCAAAACCAAAACCAAACTCACTCCTGTGGATTTGGATCCGTCTCATAGTGACCCGTCCTTGGGTTTCCAAGGCAGAATTTCTATGGAAGTAGATTGCCCGGTCTTCCTTCTGAGGAATGACTGGTGGGTTTGAACCACCAGCCTTCTGGTTAGCAGTCAAATGCCTTAGGCAGCTCCCTAGATGCCATAATTGAGTTAGAAAGACCTAGACCTTAGAAGTTCAAGCCCGTGGACCAAAAGAGAGCAGTGAGATATGGATTGAGGTCTGATCAGAGTGTGCTATTAAATTTTGATGTGCTATGGCATGAAATTATCCTTGGTAAAGAGAAAGCTGTATCACTCTGTTTTAGAGAGTGAGATTAATGAAACCTCTGATGCTCTTGGAACTTAGTATGGTAATTAAAGGTTGCCCATTCTCTAAATCAAACAAGTTTTTCCAGAAACTTCAAAGAAGCATGACTATCCTAGAAGGGGAGACTTGCTCCCAACTGAGAACAAAGAGTTTTGCTTTGGAACTTGAGCAAGAAGGATTTAGGCTTGACATCTGTGATAGTTGGAGCTGTGTGTCAACTTGGCTGGACCACAATTCTGTGTGGTTTAAGCAATTGTGGTGTGGGTTGTTCCAATGATGGGATCAGATGTATATGTTTTGAGCAGCCAATCCATTGAAAGGGAGTTTCCCTAGGGGTATGGCCTGCTTCCAGTATTGTTATGGACATCCTTGGAAAAGAAACACTCTTCTGTGGATCGAGATTCTGTCCTGCTGCCTACAACTGTCTGTGAGGGAACAATCCACCAATCGGCCTGGAGATCTTGGATTCGTCATTTGTTGGAGTCAACACCCAGTATACTGAGTGCCAACCTTGAGCTCGTCGGCCCCTGTAGCTGCTGAGTCGGGAAAAGCCTCCAGCTTGACGTTTGATCCAAGAACTTGGGACTTGCCAGCTTCTGTAAGTGTGTGAGCCATTTTCCTAAGATAAATTTGTCTCTCTCTCTCTCTCTACTGGTTTTGCTTCTCTAGAGAACCCAGTCTAACACATCATTCTCAAGCATCCTTCCTTTCTCTTGTTTCTCTCCCCACAAAGCTTCAGGAAATTAAGAGCTACTAAAGTGGCTAAGACACTTGCCTGCTAACCAGACGGCTGGCGGTTCAAACCCACCAGCCACTCCTCGGAAGGAAGGTTCCGTAGTGATACTGCCTCGGAAACCCAAGGAGGGGTCGCTATGAGTCGGGTTTGACTCGACGGCACATAACAACAACAACAACAACAACTCTTTCTTGTAACAGGATGGTGCTGTCCTTTTTACATAATAACTCCTGGCTTACACTCACAAACCAAACCAAACCAAACCAAACACTTGGCCATGAGTGAAATCTAACTCATGGTGACCACATAGGACATAGTAGAACTTCCTCATAAGGTTTCCAAGGCTATACTCTTTACAGAAACAAACTGTCACATCTTTCTCCTCTGGAGCAGCTGGTGGGTTCTAACCACTGACCTTTCAGTCAGCAGCTGAGCACTTGTAATCATAGACAATTAAAAATGGGACAGATAATTCAAACTTGCCTTTTTGGAGCTGGAGTTCTTGTCTCCTAGTTAGGGTTGTGTGTCAGTTTCTACTCACTCTTTCTAATGAAATACCTTTTCTCAAGTGTGAAAAAACAGTTTCCTTTTGGGGTGCCAGAAGAAGAGGGCTGGCAAATGTAGTTTTTCAAAGGGGAAAAGAAAAGATTCTAATTAGTTAGGGTTGGTGCTATGGAAGGAGCCCTGGTGATGCAGTGATTAAGTGAAAGGTCAGCAGTTCAAACCCACCAGCTACTCCATGGGAGAAAGATGTGGCAGTCAGCTTCTGTAAAGATTACAGCCTTGGAAACCCTATGGAGCAGTTCTACTCTGTCCTAGAGCATCTTCCTGAGGCCAAATCGACTCAGTGACAGTGGGTTTTTTGTTTGGTGCTATGGAAAAATGTCTTCCAGCTGGCCTTCATGTCCTCTGAGCCAGCTGAGTAGCAGTAGGACATTTATTTTCTATCTTTTTTTTTTTTTTTGGTTATTCTATTACTTACAGTACATTTATACAGAAATATGAGTAATTGTTTATATATTAATGGAAACATTTGATTTTTTTCTGTAGTTGTCTTATATTTTTTTCATATTTCTTTTCCTTTGATTTCAGCCACTCTCACGGGTTCAGAAACCCAAGGAAGGGTCACTATGAGTTGGTTCCCACTCGACGGCACATAACAACAAGGGTTTCTAATTGGCCTCCCTTCTGATCAAGGGGGTATCAATAAATATGGTTGTTTGATTTGGTTCTTGTCTTTCTTTCATGATTATACCATTGTGTGCAGCTAGCCTTTTTTATGTTTTTTTTAAACCTGGAGTCAGCTGACTTCAAATGTCAGACTTCATTTATTTTCCGCTTATTCTCAAAGCAAGTAGCTCCTTAGTTCCTTCTCTGGTGGTTGTCCCATCCCATGTCCCCTGACCTATCTAACCAGGAAGCATAGCCAGACCAAGAGAATAAACACATGTGAGAAATTCTGCTTCATGTCGTTCTTACCTGGCCACCTGGCAACGCTTCCTTAGAGCAGTGTCCCATGGCGATGCTCAGGATCATGAGACTTCCCTAATTTAAAGATTAGGAGAAAGTACAGTGAGATGCTCTTAAATCTGAGCTGTGATTAGGGAGATAAAGTGCCCTTTTCTCTGCCGAGGAGCTATGCAATGGGGTCAACCTTGGGTGAAAAGGAAGCCTAGTAAAGTATGTAGTTAAGAGTACAGGCCTTAGAATTAAATAGGCTTAGGTTTGTATCCCAGTTCTATTGCTTATTGCTTACTCTTACTTTTCCTCCCTTGAAATGGTATCTGTCTTTCAAATCTTGGCCCTAACCTACCTTTCTTTCAGTCACATCTCCTGTGACACTTTTGCTTATTATCTATCATTCTTTTCTCTTACATCTGTGTTTAAACCAGATAGAACTACCTGGTAAGAAAGGTAAAACCTCTGGCCCCAGACCTACTGAATCTGAATCTAGACTTTATGAAGATCCTTAGCTGATTCATATGCACATTAAAGTTTAAGAAGAGTGGGTCGAAGATATTTCCTGGAACCTTGATCCCTGGAAGAAACTATGCCACAGTTCAGCCTGTGACTGCTTAGGACATATGAATGGAATGTCCTCTGGAAAAGAATAATATGCTCTGTAATTTGAAGAATCTTTTGCATTATTCCTAATCAAAAGTGACTCCAAGATAAAGAATTACTTGAGCAGCTAGTCCTTACTTAAACTAAGGCCAAAACCAGACACTCTGCCTTCAAGTCAATTCCGAATCACAGTGACCCACATTGGGTTTTCGAGGCTGTAAATCTTTGTGGATGTAGATTGCCCCATCTTTCTTCTGTGGAGCAGCTGGTGGGTTCAAACTGCCGACCATTTGGTTAGCAGCCAAATGCCTTAACCACTACACCACCAAGCTGCTTGGTCCTCCTTTATTTCCAACCTTTTGAAGTTCGAGTTACATCTTTCCGCTGACCTGGAAGTTTCAGAAGGAAAACTTCTGAATCACACAGAAAGCCTCCTCACCTGGGAAGACCTTAAGGAGAATCAATCAAATACCTGCTATGTATAATGAAGGACAGTGTTAGGTGCTGAATAGTATGTAAAAGTTCAAACATTATCTGATTCTCAGGGACCCATTTAGTTGAATTGACAAGGTATAAACATTCAGAGTTAAATATTTTCCCTTACATTTGCATAGTCCTTGCTCATCTACAAAGAGCCACTACCTCTTCTGAACAGTTGCAGTAATTCTGTGATATTGATAGGAAGGGATTATTAGCCTAATTTTTTTTTAGATGAAGTCAGATACAAAGACAACAAAGGATTTACCAATGGTTTATGGCTCTTAAAGAGCTAGCTTAAGTACCTATATTTCCTAGCTCCAAGGCCAGGTGTTTTTTTTTTTTTTTCCCTAAGATTTATCTGGGTGGACAAAGGGAGCTGGCAATCCAAGAGGAGGGAACAGCAGAGGTAAAGGGATGGGCAGAAAAGAACAATGTATGTTCAAAGAAAAAATGATTAGACCAGTATTCTTAGGCCATTTGGAATCTGACTTGTTCCAGTCCAATTGAATGATACATCTAAACTTCCCAGGCACAGGAATTATTGTTTAGGGTAGAAGGGCCACAGCAGGTCCTGTTCTTTACCTCATGCTCTTGCATAAAAGCCACCATGTGGAAAGTCAGGGAGACAGGACTATTGATAACTAACTGATGAGACCTAAACCTAAAAGTTTCTAAGCCGAGTTGTCTCACAGACGAACATATTTACTTTTTATAGGCACTGCCTTGCTTGTTTTCCTAGTTGGGAGTAGCTTCACTCACCTTAGGGAATTGTGGGTAAAAAAGCGTGCAGGGCCACGGAAAAATAGCGGACTTTAGAAAGTGGTCAAGGTCAGGATCAATGAGAATTTGTTATTTGCGTTAAATCTTCTGTGATTTAAGGCAGTTTAGTTGGGATCCTAACCCTGGAGATTACAAGAACCGTGATTATATGTTGCTAGGGTGCACAGATGCTGAAAATCTCGATTGGTTTAGACCAAGAAGGAAGTGGCGTCTGATTGGTTATTAAAAATGAAAAAGCCTTTACTTGGATGGGACCTGATAGCCCTCTTATTAGGACTTCAAAGTCTCGGCTGCGCCAGCCTTTGTGACGTGGCCCAGCCAGCCTCAGCCTAGATTATGTCTTGACGGGTGAGGCCCAAAGCTAGTGGCCTCGCGGAGGCGGAGCGCTGCACGGCTGAGGCTGCTGAGCTGACTCAGCCCAATTGAGAGTCCGTTGGCGCTTATTAAAACACCCAGCCGCTCTCGTTAAAAATGCTCAGGGGACCACCGAGGGGAGTTCCGCCTTCCGTGCTCAAAGTATCCCACCTACTGCTCCAGGCCATCAGCACACACAGAGGACTAACTCTGTCTGCTCTCAAAAAGGAACTCCGCGATGCTGGCTACGAAATGCGCAGGAAGAGTGGCCACTGCTTGGGCAAGAAGTCCAGGCCTGAGATTAAGGGCATGTTCCTCCGAGTCAGCGGCAGCGACGCTTCGGGGTACTTTAGGGTCTGGAAGATTCCCAGGTCTAAGAGGAAGCCAGGACACCAGAGGTTGAAAGAGAGCTCCCGCTCTCCTAGGAGGATCCCACGCCGGCCCGGGAGTCCACCAAGGCGCCGCCCGTGTCGCAAGGGGGCCAAGGCCAAGGAAATACGGAAACCGAGCACGAAGGTAGACTTGAGGATGAGGAAGCTGGTGTCAAGAGCCAAGGGCCTGCTGCATCCCAGGGCCAAGGAGAAAACGAGACCCAAGGTGAAGGAAAATGGGAGGCCACGGACTGTGAAGGAACAGTTGAGGTCTAGAACAAGAGAGGACAAGAGATTAAACTCAAAGGCAAGGGAAGAGAAGGTGAAGAATTCTGAGAAGTCGGTGAAACGCACTATCCAGAAGCTAGCTAACATCGGTCAAAACCGACCAGATCTTTAGTGAGCAGGCTACAACCCAGGAAGTAAAGGTCGCTCAAAGACTTCTAGTTAATCTCAAAGTCCTAAAACTGCAACTGGGAATCCCTAGTGTGGGGGCTGGTTTTCTCCCTCCAGGCACAGATGCCCTTCCCCTTAGGCTCCAAATATTAGTACCTTTCACACATTGAAATGTACAATACTATTTACAAGACCTTTGTATCATTTTGTGTCCGTTTCCTCTTTGCTGCACAGGGAGGAGAAAGGGTGTTAAGGTCATACTAGTGGCGAGGGTATCTGCAGTGAACAGAGGAATTGGGCTCGGATTCTGTACCAGCTGCAGGATTCAGAAAAGTGCTTTTCAGAAGGAAAGAAGAAAACCAGCAATTTAACTAGGTCTGACAGAAGTGTTGAATTAATGTTAGACAACCTTGCTAATCTAAATTGAGTTTTGAGGAGGAGGGAAGGGAAGGGGTTGGTACATCATTGGGACAAAAGAAGAATAGGGTGGCCCTGGTAGCGTAGTGCCTAAGGCACTTGACTGCTACCCAGAAGGCTGGTTCAAACCCACCCAGCCACCCCTTGGAAGGAAGGTTGGGCAATCTACTTCTGCAGTGACGCTGCCTCAGAAACCCAAGGAGGGGTCACTATGAGTCAGCCAACTAAAGGCACATAACAACAACAACAACAACACTGATTACAAGTGTTTTCATCTGAAATTCCTTTTAGGCACTCTCTTCTTCCAAAGTTGATTGTAATGAGCTGGGAGTTTTTGCCCTGACTTTATAACTTACTTTAACTTTAAAAATATGTCTTATATGTTAATCCTTAGATAAATGAGAGAGTTTTCTAAAGCATCTAGCACACGGCTTGGCACAGGGTGGTTGCTCATTCCTGTGTGTTAAATATATGTATAAATAACTTGTGATAGGCTGGACATGTGGAATAGCAGAAAACTATCCTGATCAGTACTAAAGAAACCAGGAGTCTACTCACAGTCTGACTTTAACTGACTTATTATTTAACCTTTTATGGTCTCGGTTTCCCTCTGAAAAGTTGAGAATAGGATTATTTTAGGTGTTAGTAAAATGATAAAGGGAGGGGGGGCTTAAGGATTGTGACATATACTTTGCTTGACCAAAAAAAAAAAAAAAAACCCAAACTCACTGCCATCGAGTTGATTCCAACTCATCAGTGACCGCCTTTGGGTTTCTGAGGTGGTAAATGTAATGCAGAGTTGCCGAGATACCAGGACACGGAGTTGTTTTCAGAGAAGCAGTTTATTAGCACTCCCGGGCGAGGTTCTCATGCCCTAGCACCAAGGCCCGAGAAGTCGCACCCCCGGGGCAGGGGGCATAGATATTTATAGACACAGAGAGGACCTAATTGGGGACACCAAGGAAATGACAGGGTCCTCTAAGGAAATGGCAGGGTCCAATTAGCTGTTAGCATGGGTCTGCACTTAATTAGCATGAGGGGGCTTCACAGGAGGAAG